TATGGGATAAAGTTTGTACATGAAGTGGTGGACTTAACATTTTTGGGGTCCTGATGCTTGAATAGATATGGAGGACCCTTCACAACCAAAAACACTAGATTTGAAATACTTAGATCAGCCAAAATGTAGGCTATGAATAGATTCTGGTGAGTTCAACATGTCCATATAGCTGGGAGTTCAGGCACTGTTAGCCTCCAAGAACATTTTGAAATTTGACCAATTACAGGGGAATTTTGAGGCCATATGAAATGGGTATTAGAACATATTCTAAGGTGAACATTAGCTTACTTCAATTCATTGGCTTATGATTTTATCATTAAAATAAGCCTATTTTAGTAGTGCGCGCACACACACACACAAGAAAAAAAATGACCAAACAATTTTGTTGAAAAATTTACTCATTAAAAAAAAAAAAAAAAAAAAATAATACTGGTTCAAAGTCCCTTCTGAAATTAGAGGACCTGAAGTTTAAGCTTCATTAGTTTATAGTAGATCCACCTCTGGGTACAAGTCTATTTATGGGAATTTCAACTTTACACAAGAAACGCACATTACCAATTGGGTTTGGAAATGTGTGATCAAAAAAAACAAAAAAAAAACAAACAAATATAATTTATGCATAAGAATAGTGTAGATATTTTGTTTTAACTGATGTAGACTACAATGAGTTATTTAAAATAAAACAAAAATACCCCCCCCCCCCAAAAAAAAACAAAATAAAAAAAAAACATTTTTGTTATTAGTTGGATGGCTGTTCAGTAAAAGAAAGGGGATATTCGCAGTGTATATGCCATTAATGTTTGCTTCCAGGCTAAGTTATGTTAACTTTCTGCATCAAGAGGATGATGTAATATTTAATGGTGGAAGATAGGATCATATTTAGTTATAGCCTTAATGGTCGGAATTGTTTCTAGGATTTGTAAAGTTATATTTATTGTTAATCAAAGCCATTTTGTAGCAGCAGTTCTTCCTACCATGCTAATTTTTTTGCTTAATCAAATCTTACAAAGACTCATCACAAAGGATTATTAAATATTTGAAAATTAGATAAATATGAGCACAGTTGTCTGTATATTGCATCTGAAATGTTTCTTGTTCTTTCTGCATATACAATTTTAAATAAAATCTTTGGCTGAGAGAGAGAGGGAGAGAAAAAAGAAAATGTCTTCCATTTTCTAATCAATAGGAAAAACAAGGTAAAGAGAAACTTATTTGAAAGGGTTTTTTTTTTTTTTTTTTTTAATTACTTTATACAAGGAATATATAGTTGAAATTTTTCTGTGTTCAAGTTAGTAAAATGTAACAATGATGAACGAAATTTAAGTCAAACCTGAAGTAATATTTCACTGAAGGATCAAAACTTATAAAACTTTTCATTGAATTAATATCAGAATTTATGAATATTATTAATGCAGGCTTCGAGTTTCTTAAAAAAGCAATAAAGAAACAAACAAAACAGGCATTCATTCCTTTAAGCATTAATCTAAATATTTATTCACATCAGACATGAAATAAAAATAAGGCAATTTTTAATCAGAAGCTAATAAAGAGAAGAGCAAAATATTCATAGCTTTAAAGTATAGATTTTACAAGTATGTAACCAATTTAGCCTATAACCAGAAAGAGACTGAAGGTCCAGAAAGAGCAACAATACCTAAGAATTACTCAAAGATTCTAAGTCACTTGTAGTACCTGTTAAAAATTTCATTTGAATTTTCTGTTGTATAACTATTTAATGAATAAATAAAGTCCTTGCGAGTTCCATGACTAGAAAATACCTGTGGAGATTTCCCTATTGCATTGTTTAATATTTGAGCTTAACAACTTTAACAAAATATTGCAATAACAATCATAAGTATAAATACAGGTTAATTTAAAGAAGTAAGAGGGTACAAATGAACAGATTCAAAATTGGTAAGTTTTTCCATTTCACCAAATCAGATGTTAAACACATGAGAGTATGATTGCCTTTTTTTTTTTTTTTTCTTTCATTGAAACCAAACATCATTTCTGATATGTCTTTTCTGCCTTTCCTTACAATTAAAATGGAATAGTCCATAATTTATAATGTATTGGAAAGGTGTTATGTACTAACTAACGAACAAACAGAATCACATAATATTTTACAGTACAAGACTAATATAGATTTTGTAAGTGTAGACAAGGTGGGTGTGAGAATATAAATAGGAAGGTACAATCATCCAGCATAAAAAGAGAGAGAAGTTTTAGCTAAAAAGAAGTTTAAAATGGACTATTTAGAAAAGCAGTTTTAGGAATATGTAAATTTTATTATCTGGTTTTGGGACTAATCTGAAGTCAACCATTTCTTTCTTTCTTTTTTTTTCATTGAAAGAAAAGAAATTGAATGAATAGAAATTGTGTTATTATGATAATTGTTATTTTTGTTGTTGTGGTGGTAGTAGTATTGTTATAGTAGTTGTAGTAGTAGGCTTATTAGTGATATTTGTAAACTCAAGGATTTATCAATAGACAGACAACTGTTGAGGTAAAACTGGAAACTTGTTTGACCAGAATAACCCAGACAATTGAATTTACAAGCAAATTTTATAGCAATATCATTATTATTAATACTAGTGACTTTTGGCAATAGTGACTAATCAGCCTACTCTTTTTATCAAGGAGTAGTTGACTGCTGCAAATGGCTCACGGTCAAATATGTGTAGGCAGGTTAGAGAAAAGAAATTAAAAATAGAATTGAACAAAGATTATCAAATCATAATTGATGTTATTAATCAAACATTAAACCTGGGACAAAAGTTCAATGGTTAAGACACTACATAGACTTCTACAAACTGATATTCTTCCTTAGAAATAAATTTACAAATCATTTTATATTATCTATATCAATCAGGCACCTTTAGTGGTTACAGTCTACTATCCAAATTTTGATAACTGGTAGACTTTTCTTCAAAATAGTAGCAGTATATCAATATATATATCTATATATCCCTGGATGAAATTGATCTATTTTATGTTATTAGTAGTACAAGTAGCAATAAAATCTGTATAAATAATTTGGGTATCAAAATATATACCTTATCATTTGAGTGTTGCTGAGATGAACATTTTTATGGCATGACAATGATACTCATATAATAATTACAAAAAAAGTCTTATTTTATTTTTACATAAAAAGCTGCCTTTTTCTAGTTTTCAGTAAATACAATAAAATTAGAATGTTCAGGATTTAGTATAAAAAATACAAGAGAATTTTTTTTTTTATACACATTAGTTTACATTGATGTTTGTAAATACAGTCACCATGAAGTTAGCTTTAATTATTAACCCCTGAATCAGGTGTTCTTTTAAAATCTAGTATTTGGGATTAAAAAAGGAAATGATGACATGTCAAAAGATTATTTATTAGACAGACATCTATTCAGAATTTGGGCTTTAATGCAGCATTTAAAGTTTTGTTCAAAAATACTGCCTAATTTCACCAGAATAAACAAATATCTAATTTTATCAGATGTGCTTGTTAGAGAGACAAACGTTTTATATTTCACTTATGTTACCTGCAGAAGTAAGCCTTGACATCATTCAATTAGTTAAAATATCTTGTTCAATGGCCCATTCCAATTTTGAGTTGACCTAATAATTTCTGAAAATTTATTTTCATAAACTATCATTGATATAGAGACAATTGTTCATTAAATGATACAGGTACTGAAGTTTTAAACTTAGTTTTCTTTTAAACCATATTTGAGAAATATCTAAAAAAAAAATTATACTGTCTTAATGGATAACATGACACTTCATATTCAATTTAATTCAGGTTTTTACACGAGTCTAAGAAACAAGGGAGCTAATAAATGCATCCGATTAAAGGGGAATAATTATTATTTATTTGCAGATAATAATTCAAGCCTTAAATTTTAAGATAAAATAATATGGTACTTTAGGAAATAAATTAGTGTACTGTTGCTTAAAGATAAATAATCATACTGCACAAAAGACCCCAACACTTTTCAGTGTCATTTTTCAAATTGTTTTTAAGTTTATTTTTTTACTGTAAGTTTTAAATTTCAGTAATGTCATTAGTTTAAAAAAAAAAAAAAAAAGAAAAAAAGGGGGGCAATTTTTTTTTTCTTTTTTTATGACAGCAAAATAAATGTAATCAAATTATAAAAAGAAATTTGAAATATTAGAAAAATAATCCTGATTTCTTTAACACTTAAGTCTTTTATTACTTTTGAATTGTTAAAAAGTTTCCTAAAACTTAATTACAATACAATTTTAAATTTTGGTTATAAAACTACATGAACAGAATTTTCCTGCTAATTTGACATGCAGGGGCATTTTCTGTGGCCAGATTTTTTTTTTTTTCATCAGAAGTAATGAATTTATTTTTTTTTGCAATATTCTTTTCTACTGTGGATGATTGATCTTTGATATCAGAGAATAGGTTAGGATCAGTGAAGAGAAAGTCACATGATACAAGAATATTTTTTTTGTTTTATTAAATTTGAGTGATAAATATCATTTTAGTTTCATTTGGTACATAAAGGCTTATCTGAAAATGTATAGCATTTAATTGTGAACAAATGTCTGGTGTATCTAAATGTGTGAATCTATGGCTGATAGAAGTGATTACAAAAACATTGTGTTAATTTCTTATTAATAGTTTTCCTAAAATACAAACTATCAGCCATCATCCACACAATTTATATGAAAATGTTCAATGGGTGTGTATGTATATGACCAAAGGAATAAATTGCATGTGATGGGAGGCTGGGGATACAGCAGTCATATATATGTCCAGAGAAAATTCTTCCAGTAAATCTGGTGTATTAGCTTCTGGAATATCAAGTTTTTGTTTATATTTATATATATATATATATATATATATATATATATATATATATATATATATATATTACACATGTGTGTGTGAATGACAATATCAGAATATGTCTGACAGTATCACTTGCTGAGTCTATACTGGAGAAAGAGAATGATTTTTTTTTTTTTTTTGTCCTTTAAACCCAGACACCATCATTAGTCATGGGCTTTGGTTCTACACTTGTAGTGACAGTTTCATTTTCTGTCTTAGATCCAGCAGCTTTTTTTGATCCACTTCCCTGTCGAGTAAATTGTTGCTGTTTCTCTAATAATTTTAAAATCACTGGAAAGAAGAAAAAGCGAGAGATTAAGAACTGTACAATCAGGAAAGGTTTATTATGGGAAAAAAAAAAAAAAAAAAAATGAATTTCTTTAATCTTACAAGATTTTAATTAGAGAGTAAACAGAAAGCCTGGGAGAGGGGGTAGGACACGCATAAACTGGGAGCCTGGGAGAAGGGGGGTCACGCATAAAAAGAGAACCTGGGAGAGAGCAGTGCATATAAACAGAGAGCCTGGGAGAACGGGGGAGGGGGGGTCGCACGTAAAAAGTGAGCCCGGGAGAACGGTGGGGCACGTAAACAGTGAGCCTGGGAGAAGAGGGGTGTATGTAAACAGTGAGCTTCGGGGGTCATAAACAGAGAGCCTGTGAAAGGGGGCGCATGTAAACAGAAAGCCCAGGAAAGTGGGGTGTAAACAGAAGGTCTGGGAGAGTGGGGCAAATAGAGAACCTGGCAGGGGGAAAGACAGAGTGAAAAATATATGTATTTCCTAGCGTAAAATTTGTTTTTGTTTTTTTGGTGTTATCTGAAATTCAAACTTCCCTGCTTAATGTAAGTAGAAAAAGAGATGTACAACAGTTAAATCTGCAATAATTTTTGAGATATTTTATTTTGCCTTAATTTTGTATTTATATATAAATTTTTTTCTGAAATATCAAAATGACAATTCTTAACAAATCAGAAACACTTTACATTCAATTGCATTGAATTACAATGAACAAAAAAAAATCTATTATTTTAGCATAAAAAGTGCTGTTCAAAGGCTGAATATATCAATTTCTACTTTCAAAAAAAATTTTAAAAGATGCCTGTGAATAACACATTTTTCAGAACAAAATTCTACAGTTCACTTTAAACACCGCTTTTCTGTATTTTAATGTACACAAACAAAATACACCACTAAATTTAGGAAAAAAAAGTAGTTACAAACCATGTATCTAATAAATAATCTATCTTAAAAATTGAATATTATTTTAGAAAATGCATAAATAAATTTATATTCATAAATTGCAAATTGAAAAACTCTAAGAAAGAAAGAAGGAAATATGATGGGTTCTATCAGATATTCTATGTAATCAGAATCAATCTTTTGCTAGAGAATTCTGAAATTCTGTCTATATTTCTGAGACGAGATATTATGTACACTGTTTACATTATTCGGACTATCGTCCGAATCTTTGTCACCATATTTATTACAATGTTTTGGTCATTGTATGCTCCAGCCTTCTTCAGGTGGTTGGAATGTCGAACTGAACCCTTTATTTTGCTCACTGGGGTAGACTGTTCTAGTTCCACGTGCCATGTTTAATGGATGTCAGTTATCAAGTTATCTCCTGTTAATTCCCCTCTCCAAGTTCTCTACTGCCTTAACCAGGTATTGAACTCACACTCTTTGGGTGCTCAAGGACACATGGCACAATGGATAAAGGTGTTAGTTAAATCCAGTGACAGGACCCGAAGAGTGGAAGTTCAATACCTGGTTAAGGCGGTGGAGAACTTGGAGAGGGGAATTAACAGGAGATAACTTGATAACTGACATCCATTAAACATGGCACGTGGAACTAGAACAGTCTACCCCAGTGAGCGAAATAAAGAGTTCAGTTCAATATTCCAATTCCAACCACCTGAAGAAGGCCAGAGCATACAACGGCTGAAATGTTGTAATAAATATGGCGACAAAGATGAGGACAATAGCCTGAATAATGTAAATAGAGTTCTGAAATGTTCTGAACAGGAAGCCCTTTAAAAATCTGACGTTTGGCCAGATTTTGAAAAAGTGGATCATAAAAGAATTTTTCCACACCCCCTTGTATTAAGAAGAAAAAAACAAAAACAAAAAAGTCAGTAGGGGGAAGTGGGTGGAAATTAAATCAAATCTTTAAAAAAAGCAAATAATGTAGTGAAAGGTGACAGTTAATTGTCTATTAAGCACACAAAGATACAAAGAAATGAAAGAGTTGGGTGAGAGAGAGTGTGTGTGTGTGTGTGTGTGTGTGAAAAAAAACACTAAAAAGGAACACAGACATCAAACAAAAAACAAAAAGGCAAACAAATGGCAACCTGGTTAAAGGCAGATTAAATTAATTATATAATATGCTTAGCAAGGTTTTCAATTAAAATATCTACTGTTTTTTTTTTCTTGTATGCAGTATTAACTCCTTCCCCCCACTTCGATGACATGTGACACAAGGTCTTTTTTTTAGGTGGGGACCCAGGCACGTACGCCCGGGACAAGGACAAAAATTGCCCTCAGCCCCCACAACCATCGGTTGCGCTAGCCTTGGTACGTGCACTGGTCCCTCCCTCTAGTGCAATGGGAAGACGTGGCCTCGGGCAGCTGTTCTCCAGGGCTGGGCACCTCTCAGTATAATTTTCTCAGTTGCCTCTCTGATAGAGAAGTCCCTGAGCGCACTCTGCCTAAAGACAGACGCAACTGAGAGATGATAAGCCTGTGTTAAAATCCCTACAGAGAGGAATTTATACACCATGTTTTCATTTGAAATAAAGCACAAACACTTAAAATAACCTTTAACTCTGTATCCTCCTGGTGTCGGTTTAAACTGATGTCGTTTTTTTTTCCATATATTGCAGCCATTTTGCTTAAAGTTCATTTTTTTCTAGTTTTCAGATGTCAATTTGAAAATTTTAACACATTTCAGTGAAATTTTCATTTTCCAAAATTATAGATTTATAAAGAGAATATGAGTTAAGCTTGATGTCAAGTCCCTTCATATTTAAATAATTTATGTGAATTATTTTGAAATAAAGGGAGACTACTCTGTAATACACCAAACAACAACTACATTTAAAAAATGTTAGCTTTTCTTGTTCTTCGACTACCCCATAATCAGGAGGAGTCTAGTGAACATACATGCTTACAATTGGGGACGATTGTTTTTATAATAATGTGTGGAAACATGCATGATGGAAAAGAACAAAAAAAGATTAATCATTTACATGAAATAATGATACATTTTGTAACAAATAAATATTTTTATATAGAATTATGTAATATATTTTAACAATATATAATTTTTCTTCGGTGCTTTCATAGCAAACATACAAAAATTAGGGTGAGTGCAAACATACTCTACATATTGAGCTACAAATAAGAGTGCAAATTGATTTATTTTAACAGTACTGTCCTAGCAGAAATCATGCTACAATGTACCAGTTTTACTACTTTATGATTAAAAAAAAAAAATAAAATAAAATCAATGTTGTCCTTATCTGGGTTATTATATCATTGTTCCTTCTTATCCTGACCTTTAACCTCTCTTGTTCAGTAATTTGGGAACTAACCCCTTTATTCAATTCATGGAAATAGACTGTTCTCAATCAGCTGTTTATGCTAGAGGTCAATTTGCATTAGTTAATTCTTCTGTATTCATCCATCCTTATAGTGTCCCAATGAGTCAATGGTCATCTGGATATAAGTGTTGCAGTTTGAGGTTGTGAGTTCATTTCATGAATCAGGCAATGAAATTCACATATTCTGTTTCAGTGGAGCAAGCAGAAGCAATATGATAAGAATGAATCAAGATGGACAGTGGAATGTGAACAGTCTATCCTCATGGATTTAATAAAAAGTTTAGTTTGAAGTTCAGAACATTACTGAATACAACAGGCATATAAAGAAAACTGAAGAGGATAATGGCTGAAATGATCTGTCTATAGCCACAGTTCAAATAATTCAGCATGTAAAAGTTGTATTAGAAATGAAAATTGTATTCTAGTGAAAAAATTCCAGTAAAATAACAGGGTAAAACTGATTATTATTTTTCATTTCTTTTGTCTTTTTATACATCTAACTGTAAAACAATTCTAAATCATAAAAAACATTATTTATATACATGATAAAATAAAGAAAGAGGGAACATATACCTAACATGTTTCACTTTTATTAAAGCTTCAGAGATTGAGAAAAAACAGGCAAAAAGACAGAAACACTGGTATTTTCAATTATGTTTGGGTCACTCCTCATTGGTCAGATGTGTGTCATGTGCATTAAAACTGTAGACCAATGAGAACTGACCCAAATATAAATGAAAATATCAGTGTTTCTGTCTGTTTTATTTCAATCACTGACAAAACTTTAATAAAAGTGAAACATGTCAAATTGACATTTGTTTCTTTGATCTTTATTATCTTGTTGGATTCCAATCTGCATTTGATCATATATATATATATATATTTGCAATTGATATTTCTTCATGAATTTCAGTTTTACTGTTGGTGACATTGTTTTAAAAAAAAATTAACGTTGGTGACATTGTTAATAAAAAAAAATTAAAACTCATCAAAATGAAATATCTGCAAAATATTTTTCATAAAAACTTAGAATCTTGCTACTGTTCTTATTTCTTTTAAGAGGCTCATATCCTAAATGTGCTTTTAAACAAAGAAAATAATACTGATATATCATGACCTAAAATAATGATGCAAATTGGTAGAGAGAGCCAATTTATACGTGAAATATACGAGAAACTTCAGTCTATTGTTTCATCATCCAGCAATCTTGCAATATAGAAAATTATGAATACAAAAATATCTACAGATTTTACTTGGGGAATTAAGTAGCTTATTAAAAAAAGATGTGGTGGGGGGAAGAACAGAATTTTCTGCCATTGATCTTTTTTTTGATTGAAATAAAATTGGCTTTAGTTACAGATCAATGAAGTCAGACATTGAGGGTGATATGCCGTAAAACAAAATAAACCAAACCAATGAAGTGAGAGCTGTAATGTTATCAAGAACGATAAAATAATTTACTGATTTCCATAAGTCATAATCCATTTTTAGACATGGTGGTGTATTTGCTGACAAATGTAATTTAAATTTGAGTTACCTTAAAAATGGTAAAATTTAGTAATCAATTTAACTTGGAAAGGATTAATGACACTTTTCAAAGATACAGACAATATAATTTAAGTTAATTCATTCACCATTTTGCATGGTTCATTTCTGTTTTTGACAAATAGTAATGAGCTATTAAGCAAAAT